GCAGGGTTGAGGCCCCGAGCATCCGTGCGCTGAGGGCCTGGCGTGCGTGTTCTTCGGGCTCTCTGGGCAGGAACGAGCCCTACTTACAGGGCTTGTTGGGTTGTCGTTTTCTTTTTTCCTGAGGCCCCAGTTTCTTAAATCCCGATTGGGTTTAAAAATAACTCTTTGCAGGCTTTCAGCGCTCCTACTTTTGAGCACCCACGTGTACGGTTTCTGCTCGGATCAGTACGTGGGCACTTGCACAGGAGCATCGGTGGCAGGAGCAGGTACTGCTGGTGAAATTAGGCACTGGTGAGAAAGTGCTACAAGACAAGCAAAATGCTACCGAAAGTGCTACCAAAATTGTACAAAAAATGCTACAAAATGCTACGGGAGTGCTACAAATCCACCCAAAGCAAAGCAAACCTTGACTCCGAGATCCCTGAGCTTCCTGACAGGTACGGCAGAACTGATGCCAAAAAAAGCAGACTTTGGATTTAGATTTTATCTGAGAAGAAGTTTTCATCCTGCAGCTGTATTTGGCATGTGGCATTTCATGTTTTGAAAGTGCTCCTCGATCTCAGAACAGACCCGTTTGGGATTTTTGCTGCAATAAAGAGATTGTGCTCAGCTTCCTACCAACAGACATGTCCCTACCAATTTCATGTGTTAACCAGCTTATGGTCAAAATCTTACAAATGGAGTGACATTACTGAATACTCACAACAGTCTGTTGGTACGGCTAGCAGGTATAATAAAGCATCATTCTGCAGGTTTGCAGTAGCCTTGCAGGCAATGTGAGAGAAAGTAATTTTGCTTAAAGAGTACTAGTTTAAATGAAAAGTGGATTGAGCAGAATCTCAAGTACAATCTTCCAGGAGCTCTGAGGAGTTTAATCAGTACACTCAAGCAGAGCCGTGTCAGTTCACCTTGGCTGAAGGCCTGGCCAAATAGGTTTGTTCTTTCACTCATCATAGGGCAGAAAGAGATCACAATGCTGAGAGATGCTGTGATGATTGTGTCACTGAAGATACAGTAACAACATTTAAAAAAAACCACTGAAGATTAAAAAATAATGCAAAATAGAAAAAAAGCATGAAAGTAGAAGGTGGAAGGAAGGGGGGGGAAAAAAGCCTTCATAGACCATGGCTCTATTCTTATAAACAATAATCCACAATCAGTACAGCAAGGAAATGTTGTTAAGTCAGAGCTTCTCAAATACCTGTGCAGCACGAAAAGACTCCTGCAGAATTCAGGCAGAATTACTCTGTTGGGTGAAGATCATTTTAATATGTAGTTATTTAAATTTATCTATTTAGCCTTTCTCTAAAAGGAAAACCAGGGCTCTTTCAATGAACTTAGTGTTTGCAGAAGTACACTTTAAAACCAATACCGAGTCCACTATGCAACCTTCTAGATGTCTCATGTTCACTCTGACAGTACAATTTGATGACAGAAAATTAAAGCTGTGATTATGCCATGAAACATGCTTATGCCACATATTTGAGCAGGGGGCAGGATGGCTGGGTAGGTGAGGTGTGAGTGTGTGTGTGTGCATGTGAAAAAGCAGCAGCAAAAATCTATGGTTTCTGATGGAAAGAATTTTCTTGTTGTGGGGGAGGGTGATCGGGTAGAAATTTTGACCCTGGTCCTGCAATTGGATCCATCAAGCCTGACCTCTGTGCTCCTGCAGTGCTTGCTAGAGTCAGCAGAACTGCGTGCTAAGTACAGGGATCTGTCCATGTGGAACTAACTGAGGATTTGGGACCTTCCCGTTTCCTGCTGTGGAGGGAGGATGAATTCACCTCTGTAAATTCTGGAAGAGGAGCAAGAGATTTCCATAAGAGAAGCTTGCATTTATTTTTAGACCTTTTGTTCTCTCACTAAGTCCCACAGAGATCACACTGAACACAGAGTGCCTGCCTTCCTCCAACTACATGTGCCTACCTGCAGAAAATCAGTGTGGCCCATATTTCTTGAGGGTGGAAAACCTTGTATGTAGTTTGCCGTCACTGTTCAGTAGCTGCTGCTGCAATTGCTAATCCATCTTTGAGTCAGTTTAAATGTTGTCTCCCAACTATATCTGACAGAGTCGTGTCCATCACTGTAGAGCACAGTAGTTGTCTTGTGCCCTGCTCAAAATGCTTTTTTTCTTGGCAGTCTCTAAGCATAGAGGGCAGGGAGGTCAGTTTGCCCTGCAGCTCTTGCAACTGGACAATGTTCTGAATGCACATCTCCATCCAGAGCTGTGTCTGCTGATGACTAGTGAGGCTGCATGGACACTCAGTGCCTGTGCTCAACACCATGCTTCTCCAGCCCTCAGGAATGATGTCAACGAGACCAATCACATTTCAATGGCACCGGGCAGGAGCTGAGTTGGCAAGTCAGAGAAAGCTCATGCATTCCATAAGGAACATCTGCTTTTAGCCCTCACTACTCCAGGGTGGGAGACTGACCTGCAGGCATACCAGTAGCACACCACTCGTTTACTTTGGATGGTGACCATTGCTCTCTAGATCATTTTGCATGGTGCCTGCTCCAGCTGTGTGGGCTGAGAAGCAGCTTTCGGTCTGAGCCCTCTGAAGGAGACAGGCAAAACTGATGGGATCCTGCACGGGGTAATGCTGACTTGTCCAGCTGTGCCAGGCCACCTTTAGGCACACGCAAAAGCAGAACTTGAAGGATACGCAGAAACACAAAATAAAAATTAAAATACTCATGGCATTCTTACTGCTCTGGAGTTCAGACAGATGCTGAGCCAAGCTTTTTGGGATCTTCATTCTGGATTGCAAGATTTCAGAGCTTATGCACCTCAGCCTTTGTTAGATAAGGCTGTAAATGCATTTACAGACAGAATTCCTCGAACCATGTTGACCATCAAAGCTTAAAGAAAGTTTGCTGCAGCATGTAGTTTCCTGGTTGCTCTGGGGGAACTTACAGCCTAAGTTGTGTGCCTAGGACATGCATTCAAACAAGAAGGGACCTCAGGAGGGGTTCCGCCATGGCTATCCCACAAAATGAGGGTGTAGCAGGGAAAAGCTGTGATTGTTAAAGCCTTTAAAACTGGTAGGACCACAGGTCTCTGCCAAAGCTTCAGAAATGTGCCGTTCTCTATAGATACATGAACCTAGTATTTGCTTGGACTCCCCGTGGGAGACAGTGCTTTGCACACCAGTAGGTGGGGAAGGGATCTGAATTTGATGCATGCAGGATCTCATAGAGGTCTGAGTCAAAAATGAGCAGAGGTCACTATTTGTATTTCCTATGTTCTGGGATGCTCTGGTTCAAGCAGGGTATTAAAAAAATGCCTATGGGACTGAATTGCACAGGTGAACCAAGAAGAGGAAATCTAATATATAGGCTGGACTCACATTAATGAGTGAGCTAGTCTAAAGAATCAGACAGAATTAAGACATTATAGACACTTTCATGGATCTGACACTTGAGCAGTTTGAAGTTTCCCAAGCAAGCAAGATGGAAAACATATCAAGAATAAATCAAGCATTTTCTAATGAAGCTGAATGTCCATGAGCAACCATGACCTTCCACAAATGTCTTGTGCATTCACAGTTCACACTGGCTTCAGCAAGTCTGAAAATCAGGCTTTTTTATGGGGAACCCTAATATGGATTTAAATGCTTGAGTTTAATAGCTTTGCTATTAATAGTTTTGCTTTAAAGAATTAATAGCTCTGCTATTAAACTGGATAGCAAAAGGTGAAGGAATTTTGAGGGAGAAAAAGACAGGATCATTAAATACTTTCAGTGATACTGAACTGTGTATCAGTACCAAGATCTTGCTCACACTTGCTTAGTGTGAAAGTGTGTAAAGAAAAGATTCTTTGGGATAAAAAGCTAGTGTCTCTGAATTGTCATCTGCCGGTTATATTATGAAGACAGTGGGTATATTTCCTCATAACGTGGAGGTAACAAGTTATCACAGGTGTAGTCTTCCAGTAGTTCTTCTGGCTCATCAGAACTGTCCTCTGACCTGAAAAAAACAAAGAGAAGCAGATGCAAAAATAATTTTGCAAGCACAAAGCATGCAAATAACTTCAGTGCTGCTTCCTGTCAGCCTTATCTGGGCAAAGTGCTTCCTGATTTCTTGAGAAAATGCTACGAGATGAAGTTTCACTGCAATTCAATAATTTGCTGTGTTAATTTTGTGAAGTATAAAAATGTCAGGAGGTGACCTTTGTTTTCATGCTGCCTGTGAGTGTCACACATGTTGCTGAGGACAATGGGTCAATCAGCAGTTTTTCAAACAGACTTAAATTTATTAACTAAAAGTGATCTTTGTTCTAGAAAGGGTATCATTCTGAGCAATTCCTGCAATTATAGGACTATATAAAATTATTTTGACTCTGATTAAAGCCATTTTGTACTTTTCTGAAATACCAGTGGTCTTGTTTATGCCCCAAAACTGGGCAAATAGTAGGGGCTGGAAGGTTACTACAGTAGGAGAAGAGCATGTTGTGGCCAGGCGTAATCAGGAGGAAGAGCATCTGGTACCAAACTGATTCTTGCACTGTCATAAAGATGCTGTTGTGTGCTGACTTGTATGTTGTGATTGTGTTTGAGTGGAAGCCTCTGGATGTTCATATAATAATCTGCTAGTCAACAGTCTAAAGGTAGTAAGATAAACAAAACAAAACAATAAGGCAGGAGAATATATACTAATATCTTTGAAAATAACATGAGATTTTAGTAGACCGAAAACCAAAATGGATATAAAGTCAATTACACTTTTTCAGAATAAGCATATCTCCAAAGTCTTTACTCAAGAAAACACTCCTAACAAAACAAATAAAATAGTCCAAAAAAAGGATAACTCTCTGGACTAGCGTTTGCTTCCTTTGAAACCACACACACAATCTGAATACTCAGAAGCCTGTGTCCATTCACACTAAGGCAATTCAGAAACGTACCTCTGATTCCTGGTATTCTCTGCAGCGTAGTCCTCATCTCTGGCAAAAGCTGGGTTATCCATGGGGTAGGCAGGGCAGAAGTGAGCAGAGCCTGAGGTGGGACTGGGTGAGGCAGCGGGGGAACCAGCACTGCAGCAGCTGAGCACCGGGTGAAGGCAGGCAGGACTCACAGCAAGACCTTCCTGGGCTGGGTACGGCGGAGGGATGTACTGAACCACTGTGGCGCCGTGAAACGTTATGGGCTGGTTAATGCCAGTGAAGACAAAGGACTGTCCACTTGCAGTCTGGTCGAGGTCTGATGTATTTTCGTCTCCTTCTTTACAGGGCTTGCATGTAAGCATGTTAAATTTACAAACAGCAATCAGAATAAAAGTCACCCCGACAGACAGCAGAATGGGCCCTAGCAACTGAGTCCACTCCAGATGAGTAATGCCGTCGTATTTTATCCATCCCATCACAGTGAAAGTGATCCCCACCAGTCCCAAAAACACACCTGAAAAGAGTAGTGTGGTGCCAGCTTTATCCCCATCTGACACCAGGACATCGGACCTGTTTGGCTGATAAGGAGTAACAGAAAAGACATTTAAGGAGAAATCTTCTACATTGTTGTTATTCTGCTCCATTACTGACTATAACGTGACTGCTGCCTGAAGAGAAAGGAGGCTTGCAAGGGACTCAGCAGAGCATTTAAAAGTTGAAGGTTCAGTTTAGTTACACAAGAACTTTGTGTATGGTTAACAGAGTCCATCATGTGAAAGAATAAACTTTGCTTAGAAGAATAAAGGTCTGGGAAGTGAAGCCCAAAATGATTACTAAAATCTTCTTGCATTACCACCATCACTTCCGAAATGGCTTCACCCTTGCGTGGCTGCTTATCTCCTTGTTTATCCTCTCCTTTAATTTGGCACCCACTGATATTTCATCTCTCTGCCCATGCCAGATGGGAGAGAAAGGAAGCTGCAGCCACCACAGCTTTTCCTAGGTCCCTTGCCAGCTGATGCATCCAACATATGGGCAGCATACATTTAGTTGCCAACAGCAGTGTGGCAACTCTTGCTCTCCATAGCCTACCACTTCAACAACCCAGATCCACAAGAAAACATCACCATTGCTGGAACTGCTTTTCAGTGCTCTGAATGTGACATTTACAGCCACGTCTGGACCTGTGTTGCAGCTCATTCTGCAGCCAGAGCTTCTGTGGTTTAAAAATATCAAAGTAGGCTTTCTGATATTTTGCCAAGGGGGAGCAGTGTGTGGGTGGAGGGTGAGTGGCAACAGGATGGTGAGGGATGAACAGCCTGGGAGAGCTGCTGGTTGTGGGAGAAAAGTTATTTCTAGACAGCCAAACTTCCCAGCTGTTTGAAGGTAGCATAATTGCTCTGTAACTTCCCCCTGATTGTGGACATTTTTTGTTGTGGGATCTCCACCACTTCCTCAAAGTTTATGCTGAGTAAAGCCCACACACCCTGAATAATGTATCACTGCAAGAATGAGAAAGTATCTCCTGTAATGTTAAACTTGGTAAAGCAAGGGATCTTATCCTCCTAAAGAATTTTTCTACGTCACAATGAATTGCTCTGTTAAACACATGTTCCATATATTAAACAGACAGATAATTAGAGTGTTGAGATTTTCTGCTTCCTAACAGTTTCAGACTAAAGTAATTGCTGTTGGAGGGTTCTGGTAGAACATCTTTGTATAATTCATTAAGGAGGAAAAATCTCCAACTATTTGATCAGTTTTGACTAGCATGGCAGGGGAGTACACACAGAACAGAGATTACTCCTCAGGTGGTAGTACATATAATGCTATTGCCTGCTACCAGCTGCTCTGGGGAAGCAAGATTTTTAGGATAAAAATAGCTTTAGAACTAGAAAACTCACCTCTTAGACTGCTTCTTCAAAATCAGTCAAGGTGCCTTTATTCTGCTCTGCATTTGTACTATACAGTGTGACAACAGCTCACATCTGAAAGGGGCTGCTCACTGAATTTGGCATCTTCGGATCTGGTACTGCATGCAATTGCAGATGTATCTTTGTCATTTGTTAGCAGACAGACCTGAAGGGATATTAGCACCAGACTCCTTTAAAAAAAATCTGGGAAGCTTCCAAGTCAGTATTACGTCTTTTCTATTATCTGGGGTGCCAACACATTTTCTGACCAATACACTCAAGATCAGCATGTCCCCCAGCAGCAAATCTAGGACTCTGCACCACTTGAACAAAGTGTTATGGCTTAGTTTTGTATTATGACAACTAAATTACAAAGTGCTGAAACACCAGATAAGCTGTCCTTGCATAGGGAATTATAGCCAAATCTTAAGTCACCTTTAACCTTGTATTTGGTAAACTTAATGGAAGGAACTTCTGTTACTGCTCTCCAGAAGTCATGTTTTTCCATACCATAAATAACTCTTGTCACTGTTCGCTGAAGCTTCCAGGCTTTCCAATGTCCTTTTAAAAGCAGCATGGCACTATTATAGCTGTGTAAATAATGGTATACACAGACGTAGGGCCACCTTCCACCTCTCATTTAGTCAAGAACTCTGCAAATGCTATTTGCAACAGGACTGTGCTGGAGCATTTCCTTGGTCCTATGCGATGGTCCTTAGATGCTGGCTGGAATCAGAGTTTACTACATTGGTGTTGTATTATTCCAAGGCTGACTCTCTTTGCCTTTGGCCTAGGACGTGACTTCATGGCTGCTGAGCACGTGTGCAGCAGAGCTGGAGAATATGGATAGCATCTTCCCAGGCTACTTGTCACTTGAACTTTGAAGCTGGGATGGAAAACACTTTCTGTTTGTTACAGTAGAAACCCCTCCTCTTTTTAAGTTATAATTTTCTCTGAGCCTCCCCACATTTCTGCCATTATTTCCCCAGTGGCAGTGATGCATTCAGCTGTCAAAATCTCAGGACGTTATCAGATCACATCGATTTTTTTAAAGCTAGTGCTTTCCTTTGCCAAGTAAGTGTGTGTTCTGAGAACTCAAAGATGCCAATTTATTAAATGCACCCCCTTTTACCAGCAATAACTCCTAAACAAACAGGAACAGTTTTGTGAACCCTAAGCAACTGGTCAGAGTGAGATCTTCAGAATGGATGCTATTTTAGCTCGCATTACAGTTTTGTTCCTATCTGCTTCAGGGACCTTACCTCTGAACAGAAGCACTGCTTTGCTTTCTGTCCCTCCACACGATTTCCTATCACCAATGCAGACCTTCCCTGCAGGGCTTGCTGCTTGAAGCAGGCTTTGTATAACGCTCTGCACCTCCTCAGCTCTCTAACCTGTTTCAAGGGTCACCCTAGTAAACACTGAGAGGTCTTCACTTGATCCTTTTCTCCTCTCCTTATCTTACTAATTTTTACATAAGTGTTCACCCTGTCAACCCACGGTAGTGAGGTTTTGTTTTCTTATATGCCTGTAATGTAGTCAGGGACTTAGCCATAGAACATGCAAAACCTGCCACATAAAAGAGAATTATGTCATGGTGCTGTACACTGATTTGCTTTAAAAAAAGAGTACATACAAAGTATCACTCCACAAAGAAACACTCAATCACAGGGAGATTAAGAAGCTAAGGATTTGACTAAAACAGACATTTTTTCCTGGAGAAAGGTGACTGTATGCAGCATCCTTGGGGGGAAATATGGATTACATATGTGACAACAGTACCTAAAGAACCACCATGTGTGGGCCTTGCACCCTGGGGCCCAGTACTACTGCACTGCCAGCCTCAAAGCATAAAGAAGCTGTGAGAAGTACATTCAGCCATCTGACCACAGCTGTACCTACATGGTTTTATACAATCCCAGGGAATATCTTGTCAGCAGGCACACCAAATTCAAGGCATTTCGATACCAAATTATCCAGATACACACACATGTGACAGAGGGAGGAGAACAGATCTAGAGCAATGTTGACACATTTACTGCAGCAATGTGGAGGCATTGCCAAAAATGTCTGCCTGGACACAGAAATGCACCACAAGCCATGACTCTGAAGAGGCAGGATGGAAAAGGGATAGATGGATACAGAGCTATCAACCACAAAGGGCAAGGACTGTGTGGATGATTGCTGCTGTACTGAAAACACAGCATTGTTGCAGAGGTCTGTGCAAGCTCAGTTTTTCAGATGAGTAAGCTTTCCATTTTTTTAGCTGCTGGTGATGCAGGAAGAAAGACTTCTCGTGGAGGGGAGGCATCCATTTATACTTTCATGAATCCTTCTCCTATCCAAAGGATTGTAACATTGCAGTTAGAAGCAGAGCAGTGTCAGTGCAGGCAGCAAGGAAGAGAGACCTTAGCCTCATTTACAGAGGGTAAGCAATCCTTACCTCCCACTTTGCCTGTTAAAGCAAGTGTGAATGAGTAACCAACTTGCTTTGCTCCCTAGCATTTCTATGTCAAACACTCAAGGCAACCTTAGGGCAGAAAGGGGGTTATAGCACCATTAGTGTGACAGTAAAGTGTCTCACTTCCTCAATAAAAATGCTATTCCCTATTATTTTAAGCTACTTTTATAGCTTTACAAGGTGCTGCTTCCTTTCAAATACAGACATTTCACCCCTACTCCCCACATCAAAAATTACTCCCACTCACACTGTTCATCAGTGGTAGCCGTCAGTGGTGGAGGAGATCTGCTAACACCCTTTATTTTCTGACCTTGCTGCAACAGCTTTCGACAACACAGTACTTGCGTATGGTTGCCCCGGTTACGTTAGCCTTCTCAGTGCTGAGTGGGTTATGGAGATGCACCCAGCACATTCACTGAATTTTCAAGGAATGATTCTCCAATTCAGAAATAGTAGAAACTAATAGACCTATACATTGAACTATTTCCTAATCATATTCTCGAAACGATACTGAGAGAAATTACATTTTCAATCCATGTTTTCAGAGGTAACACCTATTGTTCCCATGAAATTCAGGTGCTGGCTCCTAGGAGTCAGGTCAGCAGCTTGCTAAAGCATGATTTCTGTGAAGACTGCTTTTTTTTTTTTTTTTTTAAATAGTGATCAACTCAAGAGAATGAACAGTAGATCAAACCACAATAACCTTGAAGACAAACAAGATCATGTTTCATTTCCATAGGACTCAGTTCAGAATGAACAGATTCTACTTGATTTGTCTAGTCTCTTGGGTACATCTTGGGAACTACCAACTGAGTAAACTGCAGGCAGCACAAAAGGTTAATTCCTTTACAGTTAGCAATCAGAGAAGACTGTGTATTTTTTCAAGACGGTGACTTACTTAAATATTCGCTTAGAGTAAATGCTTTTTGATGTTTAACCTTTTAAGCAAATGAATGTTCATTTATAATTCAAACAAGAGAACAAAGCCAACAAGGGGTTTTGTTTGCATGGGATCTTTTGGGTAAAATAGCCCAGCTTCTATAGTTGCTATATAATAGCACGACAAATGCAGAGAAACAAGCTCCTTCCACATGTGCAAGGCTTTGTATGCACGAATCATGCAGGGCAGTGGGCATCACTGTTAAAAACCAGGTTAGAAACAAAAGCTCTGGATAAAAAAAATAAAAAAGATGGCAAACCATAGCTTTGCATACAGAAGGCATTCAAGGAACAGCATCCTTTAAAAATTCACCATGTAAAAAACACTTGAGAGAAAAGAGGATCAAATGCTTATTGGCTTTTTGTGAATCTCTTTCCTTCATACAGATATTTCCCACGCCTGAGTCATGCCAGTTTAATCAGCTCCCACATATTAAATCCCTCTCTGTGCTGTGTCTGCTGATTACTGTGCATGCATAAGCCTCTCAGCTCTCTTTCTGGCTAAATATATCTCCCTCACTGGCTAGTTTGTTTTTGTGTGGCTGCATGAAAAGATGCACTAGCATGACTGAGTGAACAATTCAGAGGTGGATAAAATGGCCAAATACAGGAGTTCCTGAAAATCTCTATAGAACTCTGCAGGCGAGAGGCATGTTCATTGAAAAATGACACAAGGCAATCTCCTTTCTCTGGACACAGGAAGCAAATTGAGTGCTTAATTCAAACTCTGGCATTCTGTTACAGCCAGGTTCCCAGAAATTGTGCACGACAGAGGTGTAGCTGAGATTCCAGAGCATGCAGGTGTTCAGAGACTCATCTGGGACACTCTGTGCTGGGACACTCAAGGTCAGGCTTGATGGGGCTCTGAGGAATCTGCTGTAGTTGGAGAAGCCCGTCTACTGTAGGGGGTTGGACTAGATGACCTTTACAGGTCCATTCCAACCCAATACATTCTATGATTCGCAAAATAGAGCTAGAATGTGTTGTCACCCCATTCTGAAGGCAGGCATCCACTGCTAATTTAGGGCTTCACAGAGACAGAGGAGCAAAGAGAGCTGTATCTTTGAAGGGTCTGTCAAGTGCTGTGCCATTTAAAAACACCTATAGCATGTGTTTCCATGAAAACTGCCTCTCCTGCATTTGCTGGTATGTAATGCCTGCACCTGGAAGATTCTGTTGCAGAGTGGTGCTCACCCTCACAAAATAAGTTCTCCTTGTATGGACCACAACTGACAATATGCAACTGCAGTGTAATCCCCCTGAAATCAGTCACTACCACAGCAAGACTGTTAGCCTATTAACTATCCTCAGTGCTGCCTTAGGGCTCTTAACTGCTGGCTAAAACTGCTTTTCATAGGGATTATACTTACATAAGGACCAGAGAGGCTCTAAATTAAGCTATGGAGTGTTTGTTACCAGGCACACCAAAAAGCAAACATTTAAGTTCTCCATAATGTATTCGGTCCCCATCTTAAACACCCTTACTTGTAATGCTCTCAGAGTACATACAAAGTTAATGGCTTTTCAAACAACTATCTTCCACTAAAGTAACACAACAATAGAAATAAAAACACTTCCTAATTATTTCTTTTTTCAAGCTCCAAACAGATTTAATTAAAATAAGAAAAATATTGATCTCTACTTAGTGACTCCATTATATAAAGAACAACTGAAAATAGAAACTGAAGCTGTAACAGAACAAAATGAGCATTTAAAATTCTTTTAGTGAACTGAATTTCTTCAGAATACTTGCTTAGAGGCCCAGCATTACCTAGTATTTCTTAAAACACAAATTAATAATTTATGCTTTTTGATGAAAAATGAGACACAGTCAACATTACTGCTTTTATTATAAAATAAATACATTCAAACATTGTGTATCTGAATGTACAATTTAATTTAAAAATTAACTCTAACTGACAGTTCTCTATGAGCTGGTGTCAGATGTGGCTAAGGAAATAGATGAAGAAGATGAAGATGGAGAATACTCATTATTTGCTATTGATGCTTTTTCTTCGTATTTTGGAGGTGATTCAGAGAGGTACAGCACTGGCAAAATATCTGAAGGTGAGCTGCTTCTAGAAATTGTATATATGGTTTCATAGCCTCTGACAGCAACTGTTCTTTCATCATCTGTAAGCTGTGCTCTATAAAACACAAACCAGCATATTAGTGTAATTATTTCTCCACAGTGAGAGAAATTCCACTTGACTTACATAAACATACATGTATGCACACAACCTCTAAAAATCCCAGAAGCAAAGAACTTGCATAAGCATTTGGATCTCATTCTGGGGGCTATATTATGACTCATATGAAAATGCTGGTTCTTCAGAGCGGAAGGGCAAACAAGCTCCCTTCTAACCTTCCACACCACCAGTCAGTCTGCCTGTTGGGTATTAGCTGCTTCTGGCAATGCTATCTTAAAATCTTATTAAACCTTCTTCTGATCCTGAGCTCCTAATGTATCTTCCTTTTTGTAGTCTACCACATACACATGGTCCCCTTCCCTTATGAAAGACAGTTACTAGACTTAGAACTGCACTGTAAAAAACAGTTCTTAGTCATTTGAGGTCTCATATGAAAGGCAACTGGAATCTTGTATTAAGCTCTTCAGAAACACAGGGAAGAAATATAGAGTAGCATTCCTAAAAAATTCGTGCTCAGAGCTGGAGAAACCAAAGCAACTGGTAAAGACCAGGCTGCTAAGTTCCCAAGCATCCACTGTCGTAACAGGATCCCAGTCAGTGGCACCTGCATGGTTCTGGTACCCTGCTCATCTCACTCTGGAGGTGGCCCTCTCTGCATATTGCCTCAGCTGCTTCTCAAGGAAAGGGAAGAGGTCCTTGTCTCTCATGACTTGCTCTCACAGCTGACTCTTGTCTTTCTGCATACATCTGTACCCCCACCAACAATGCATGAGGAGAAGGAACAAAGAGTATGGTCACCTCATCTTCAGTGCTATTACTGGTACATGAGAGTGTGTTTAAAGGAGAGAGACGAAAACATACATGACAAATCCTGACACACTATGTAACAGATTGCAGGAAAATCTAACCTGGGATGAGACCATGACTTAGCCTCCTAACAGCTCTCTCATTCACCACAGCCTCCATCACAGCACTTGCAGCCAGAACATAGCACAACTGACAGAAGAGGCAAAACACCTTTGCCTAGTAACCATCCAAGTATAAAATGAGTATTCTCTTCCAGCTTTGGGACCTTCGACTATGGCACTATATTAGGTGAAATGAGGCCACTGCTTCTCCTCCATGGAAGGGCTTGGGAACCAATCTGCTTGAATCAAGATGTAGTGGCCACTGCCAAATGCTGAGCCACAGGAGGGGGTCATGGAGTGAAATACACAAAGGTAGTATCAACTTACAGTGTCTTTGTGAGGACCCTGGGGAGCATGGAAGGGCAACAGCTAGAACACTGCCAACCACAGAACACCAAAGGAGGAGTTTGGGAATTCTGCATCTATGGTCCAGGTGTTTTGTCCACTCCATTAGAAACTGCCCCAACAAACTAAACTACAAACTGCCTCTTTGCATACATATGTTCACAAGACACAGAAATCCAGAGAAGTAATAAACGTCTTTGAGTGAAGCATGGACAGTGGGATTGAGTGCACTCTCAGCAAGATTGCTGACAACATTAAAGTGTATGGACTGGTTGACACCCTAGAGGGAAGGGATGCCATCCAGAAAAACCCTGACAGGCTTGAGAAGTGGGCCCAAGCCAATCTCACAAAGTTCAGCAAGGCCAAGAGTAAGGTCCTCCACCTGATTTGGGGCAATCCCAAGCACAAATACAAGTTGGGCAGATAATGGATTGAGGACAGCCTTGAGGAGAAGGATCTGGGGATGTTGGTCAATTAAAAGCTCAAAATTAGCTGGCAACGTGCACTTGCAGCCCAGAAAGTCAACTGTGTCCTGAGCTTCACCAAAAGCATGGCTAGCAGATTGAGGGAGGCGATCCTGCCCCTGTACTCCACACTTATGAGACTCTACGTAGAGTACAGTGTCCAGTTGTGGAGCCCTCAACATAGGAAGGATATAGAGGTCTTAGAGCAAGTCTAGAGAAGGGTCACAAAGATGATCCAAGGGTTGGAGCACCTCTCCTATGAGGACAGACTGAGAGAGTTGGGGCTGTTCTGCCGGAGGCCTATAAGGAGAGGGAGTTCCAGGGAGACCTTATAGGAGCCTTCCAGTACCTGAAGGAGCCACAGGAAAGCTGGGGAGGGACTTTCTACAACAGTGTGTAGCGATAAGACAAGGGGAAATGGTTTTAAACTGGAAAAGGGGATTTAGGTTAGATACTAGGAAAAAAATCCTTTACTGTGAGAGTGGTGAGACACTGGAACAGGTTGCCGAGAGAACCTGTGGATGCCCCATCTCTGGAAGTGTTCAAGGTCAGGTTGGACAGGGCTTGGAGCAACCTGGTCTAGGGGAAGGTGTCCCTGCAGGGGAGTTTGAATTAGATGATCTTCAAGGTCTCTTCCAACTCAAACCATTTTAAGATGGCCTCTCACATACAGTTCAGAGCACCAGAAAGAACATTCATGGACTGAGACAGCTGATTCAGTTGGAGGGGATTTTGTAGGAGAATGGGTAAAGGAAAGAGAGGTATAAGCACCAGCAGGAAGAACCCACAAGAAGTTGAGGAATCAGATTTCACACCATTTTGCCACTGCCCTTTGTTCTTCCTTTTTCAGTGCAAGATGTGCTGTTCACATTTTTTCCCACCTTTTGATAATCCACACATTTCACCAAACACATGGGCAAGCAACCCACATTTGAACTCGGGGCCTGAAATTACAGAGTAAAAAAGGCTTGTGGCCCTCAGTTTTGCACACTGCACTTTTACTGACAAGAGGTACAAGAGACACTTTCTCTCAGCTGCTTGTGAGGCTACATCAGAACACATACGTTCCAATATCTGCCCCAGCTATCCACTCTAGTCTGGTATTCTAAATATATTTAGACTGATTTTTGAGTGTCTTTGGATCATATTTTAATTGGCTGGCTCACGGCTACCAGAGGTCTAGATTCACACTCAGGGCAAGTAATTTCTCCACACATCCATTTGCTTTGTATGTACACCTGTGATGTACATGCCAGAAGGGAGTCATGCTGCAGCTCTAGCACAGCCAGGCTCAGTGTGGTGGTCCAGGACTAACAGCAGCTGACGTGAAACACCTTCCAACTGTAGCCACCTTCACCCAGCCCAATAAGAACACTGAGACTTCATGTACGTTTAATTGTTTCAGCAGCAGGAGTTTGCTCCTACTTGTTCTGGGTGACTTTAGATTGCTGAAGCATAGCTCTGTGAGTTATATTTCACTTCCAGTTTCTTCACACAACAATTTGGACCTGATCATGAAAACCACTGATGTCTGGTAAGAACTGTTACTTGTTCAACCTCCAACATCTACCTGTGTCATCCTTAATTGGCAGGTGTTTAGGGCACCAAGTAATTAACAGATTCTCATCAACTTTGAAACAATTTAGGTGGAAAAACAGTAGGCTGAATAAATTGTGTGCAGCTAGGGTTGCTAGTTAGTGCATCCCTCAGCATGTCATCAACGTCAAACTGGATCTCAGTCAGTGGTAACCGAACACTTGAGTGTCTCCCTTCCCCATGGGGTACGTACGTTATCACTTTCTTTTTTGGGGGCCAGACCCACTGTGCACTAGAGACTGTTGCACTAGTAGCAAGGAAGAGTGAGTAGGGTTTTTAATAGAGCTGTTTGTTCTATGTTAATAATAAAAAAAAAAAAAAAAAAAAAGGAAAGATGAATGTAGAAAATAGTACATTCTTTTTTAGCTTTTTGTGTGTGTGTGTGTGTAATTCAGTAATAATTCTGGAACATCCAAGTAAAACTACTGTGGCAACTGCACCAGAGATCTAGAGGCAGAGAGACTGAAAAAGCAAGAAGTTTGCTAGATTCACTACACATTGACAGCCATGGATTGTAACTTAACAAAGAACCTCAATTTCCAACAGCATCACAAACTGACATAATTACAAATGAAACAAAGAACATTCTAGCATAAAAAATAATAATGAAAACCAAGAGATCAATATGTTTTTGGAAAAGCAGTAGGACAGCATGCTTTGTGGTAACAGCTACGGGAGGATGCATCTGCTGTCTCCAAGAAAGAAGGGGAGAAAACGTTTTGGGGAGTGCCCTAAGAAATGGAAGCAGTATGATAAGTTGACAGTGACTGACCAGAAAACAGAATGCCTCACACAGTGGGCTTAAGCCTTAAGAATTCCCCAAGTATACATCAAAAGACAACAAAAAACAACAGACATAGCCTGCACACAGCATGATAACAAGAGTAAGAACCATTGCTAACACAAATACCCTCCTCCTACAGCATTCTAGTCTTTGGGCAAGAAGAAGGTTCATGCTTGTTTGCTTCAAAAGGAAGATTACCACTAGAGTTTTGAGGATGCACTGATATCAGGCACACCACTAGTACAGCTAGCCATGGAACACACTACCTTATGTGAATGGAGGAATGGATAATGAGTAATGATCCTACATACAGAACTGGAGTATACTGAAAACCTATTAAAGCAATGGCCTAACAACTATGACTGGACACTTGCTGTATGATGGAGCTTAGGATGCTGCTGGTACAGCCCTGTAAACTAAAGTCATGCAATGAAAATGTCCCACACCATCTACTGACTCACAAAGCAAAACCTAGCTGACACAGGACCTCTCAAAAACTAAAGCCAAGTGAACTCCAGATTATTAAGGGCCTGAAAATAAGCTGGGGGCTCTAGGCATGTGGAATCTAGTTCTCCTGGCCCGAAGTAGTTTTGGCACCTAGTCCATGGCCCCTGCAGTGACCTCTACCTCTTCACTCTCCAGTTAGCTGCCCACTGTTGGCAACCCACAGTGCATAAATAGCCCTGCAAGTTCCTGTGGTGCAGACAACTCTTCACTCAGTTGTCAGCTCTTGCTCCCTAAGCTTGCATGCAGCAAATCAGCTGTACTCAAGATGCAGAAGAGTGGCTCCATGGGTGTCCTGGTGTCAAGGTACAACATCTTGAGATGAAGCTGGCACTGCACCTCCCTTTTAAGTTTCCTGCAGCCTCCTGCTCTTTC